TAGAATCGAATTTAAAACTGCCTGTGCCGAATGGTTGTGATTTTTGTTCCCATACGGGCTTTACAGGACGTACTGCGATTTATGAAATTGTACCGATTGATGAGCAGATGCGCCGTTTGATTCATGGCAATGCAGCAGAGTATGAACTTGAAGAATATGCCCGTAAAGATGCAGGTTCAATTCGAGATGATGGTTTACGTAAAGTATTGGCGGGTAAAACCACAATGGAAGAGGTTTTACGTGTCACCAATGAAGCGGCTGAATGATGATCTTTTTAAGTGAAAAGATGTGCTAGTTAAACACATCTTTTCACTTTTGATATATGGAATAGTTTATTTGTCTAAAATATCTTTTATTTCTTTGGTCAATCTTTCATGAAAATCTTCCAATGTCATTTTTTTAAAAAAACGATGCCTTTGAATATATGGTAGAGCTTCATCAACTAATTGATCATATAAAGGATCATTCATATATTTCGCAAACACCAAACGAGAAATAACCCCTAAACCCGTAATATATTGCTTTTCATCACCATGATTTACCCACTGATTTAAAGTATTTAAATCTTTATGCTTTTCTGCATCATAAATTAAGAAATCATAAACCTGTTGAAGGACAAATTGTAATTGACTAGGATCATTAAAATGACAGGCTTCACCTTCAATACCATGAATATTTGGTAAATATTGTAAAGTGTAATCATTTATATAATGGTCTCTTTTTAAATGAAAATTAACACCTGTTTTTAATTGAATATAATCTATAAGTGCTACTTTCGTATATGCAAGCCTATTTCCGTTTGTTGGAGTTAAAATAGCAATATCCTGATATAACTCAGACGATATATCTCTATAAAAACCTATTACTAATTCGTTAAAAACATTACTTTTCTTTATTTTTATAAAATGCAATGTATCTTGATTTGCTTTCAACCATTCTTCCGAAAATACAATTAGTTTATCATTACTGGCTGGAACAGCTTTAAATTGCAATAACTGTTCTTTTGTTACGGCTTGTACTGCCCCCAACATTTCCTCAATACTTTCTTGATCAGGAAAAATAACATCCTGACTAAAAAACACATAATGTTTTGCATCAAAAGCAACGAGCTTATGTTTACGTAATGTTTCGACTAATATTTTATAAAGATATTTACTCTTTTCTTGTAAATGTTCAATCACAAAAACATTTGATGAAAAATTAAAGAAACCTTGTACTTTAGTAAAAAAATGGATTATTTCTTCATCAAAATTCTCAGCAAGTTCAGGGCTTGTGACAACTTGTTCAACATCTAACAACCAGCTTTTTAAGTTTTCAGTGAAACCTAAATCTTGAGGATTGGTTGCAAAAAATTCAGCTTGTTCTAATGTGGAAATTGTTTTTTGCGGATGATGTTGAGTTGCATCCCATACATAAAATAATGCTGCCATTCTTATAAGCTCGGTTGTAATTATTTGACTAATATAGTGTATCTTTTTTATTCTAAAACTTTTTTTTTATAAATTTATTCGAGATTTAAGCATCTACCTCAAAACATACTTGATTTGAGGTAGAAACAATAAATTAAACTATCACATTTAATGTCACATCAATATTGCCACGAGTCGCATTTGAATATGGGCAAACAATATGTGCAGCATCTACTAACTTCTGTGCTTCTTCTTGCTCTAAACCTTCTAAATGAATATTTAAAGTCACTTGAATACCAAAACCAGTAGCGATTGGACCAATACCAACATCACCTTCGATATAAACATCTGGGGTAATTTTTAAATGATCACGGTTAGCAACAAATTTCATCGCACCAAGGAAGCAAGCAGAATAACCTGCTGCAAAAAGTTGTTCAGGATTGGTACCGCCACCAGCACCACCCATTTCTTTAGGCACTGCTAATTTAACATCTAAAATTCCGTCTGATGATGTTGCACGACCATCACGACCGCCAGTTGCTTTTGCATGTGCTGTATAAACCACTTTTTCTAAAGACATCGGAAATCATCCATTTTTGATTGTGTTCAATTATATCGTATACGATATAAATATTTAAACAAGTAGCGTTTGTGTAAAATTTGATAACTTTATTTTGAAATGTTTTCGCGTAAGTTTGAAAGAAGATCTTTCAATTGAGTAATGCTGTCTAAATCACAGGCACTGGCTTGAGCAACTTGTAACGGAATATCCACGGCTTTTAATTTTAGCGCATGGCCCTGAGCAGTGAGACTAATAATCACTTGACGTTCATCTTTCGTAGAACGTTCGCGGTTAACAATACCATTACTTTGTAATTTTTTGAGTAAGGGGGTCAGGGTAGATGATTCTAAAAAGAGTTTTTCACCGATTTCAGACACAGTTAGACCATCTTTTTCCCAAAGCACTAACATGACCAAATACTGTGGATAGGTCAGTCCTAGTGGTGTGAGTAATTTACGATAAAGTTGATTTAATGCTAAGTTTGTAGAGTAAACAAGAAAGCAGAGTTGATGATCAAGATTTAAGTTTGAATAGTCTTGTTGCATGCTTGTCTCGTGAAGATATTACGCCTCACAAGTATAACGTTGTTTTGTCTCGTTCAGGAAATAAAAGTCATTAATGGCAATACAGGCTTAGAATGACATCAATTTGCGATGTTGCATTAAAGGCATTGATTCACGAATTGAGCGCTGCTCATTCAAGTCAAAAGGAACCGTCATCAATTGCGCGCCTTCTGCATCTGTAATCGCTAAAATCTGCCCACGACTATTGGTTGCACCAGCATGTCCCCAGGTTTGACGTTTTTCACCATGCCAACCTTGTTGTGCTGCACCTAAAACATGACATTGGCTGTCCATCGCACGTGCTTGAAGTAATAACTGCCAATGCATTTGACCTGTGGTATAGGTAAATGCAGCTGGTGCAGTCAAAATATTTGCACCTTGCGCTCTCAAGGTGAGTGCAAGTTCTGGAAAGCGTAAGTCGTAGCAAACCATCAAACCGATTTGTCCAAAAGGTGTTTTCGCGACAACAACATCACTGCCTGGTTCAAAAAACTGAGATTCTTGATACCCACCAACAGCGTCACCCACTTGTACATCAAACAAGTGAATTTTGTCATAACGTGCTTCAGTGCCTTCTGGACTGATACATAGGCTGACAGTACGAACTCGACCGTCAGCAATAATTGAACCATCTGGACGGAAAGGGCAAGGTAAAGTCCCTGCAACAATCCATATTTGATAATGATGTGCTAAGTTTTCTAAACGCTTTTGAATTTCTTCAAAACGTGTAGCAGTTTCCCGTTGTTTACCTGCGGCAAAGCAGACAAAGTTTTCAGGAAACACAATCAAAGAAGCTCCATCAGCTTTACTTTGTTGTATCAACGACTCAATCACACTGAAGTTTACTTCAATGTCATTTTGAGAGTTCATTTGAACAACGGAAAGTAAAGTCATGGGCTATCCCTGATAAAGCAATTTTGAAATTATTAAGCGTTTTGCTGGTTTGAAGATACACATTCCATTGTATCTTGCTGCTTTTCAAGTTGTTTAACTAATGGCTCGAACATATTTTGATTGTTTTCATTGAGCTTCATTAATGTTTTGTGTGCATCGAGAACGGTACACAGCATTGTGCTGTGATTAACGTTATCGTCAATCAAAGCATTGGTGCACACTTGAGGGTCACCACAGTAATTTAAAATGACAAAAACCTGCCCTAAGCCCATGCTATTGGCTAGAGTGGTAATATCTGGATTTGTGGACAGCATCACCGCTTGGATGTGGTGTACTTGTTTCAACTTTAAGCCAAGCTTGGCAAGTATTCCAAGAACTGTACTATCAATAAATGTGGTTTGGGTTAAATCAACAATTGCGCCAATGACGTTTTTCTGTTGTTCAATCCTTGCCAAAAGTTTGTCTAAACTAATACAAGATTGGGCTCGCACTTCACCAATAAGTTTGAAAATATGCGTTCCATTCAAGCTTGCATATTCAACATGACCTGTTGACATATAAATGCCATTTGCAGAGAAGGATAGGAAAATTATCACATAGCGCAAGTCTATACTCAAGCGTTTGCGTATAGGTTATTAGTCTAATTTATTATATGTATTTGATTATGTTGTTAATTCATTCTGCGGAGACTGAGGATTGCAATGTCATCTGCTACATGTTCTGGTGCGCGGAATGATTGATTTTGCAAATGATAGACCAATTGTGAGAACTGTTCATTCAAACCACCTGAGAATGGTTCAAGGGCACCATCAGAACAAATAATGAACCGCGCATGCTTGGTTAAGGTACATTGGAATTCTTCAACCTCTAAATCTTCTGTGAGTCCTAAAGGAAAACTGCTGGTATTTAAGACACGAGGGGCTTGGTTGGGCTCAAAAATGATGGGGGGAGGGTAATGCCCCGCACTTGACCATTTTAAAGCATGTGTTTCTAGATTTAGAATTCCAGCTAACATCGTGATATGTTTTTCAATATTTTCTTGAACCAGCATACCATTGAGTTTTTTAATCAATTCTCTTGGTGTTTTCGAACGGCCGTGAAAGGCGGCCATCCAAGACGTCAGTAACGAGCTGGTTACACCATGTCCCGACACATCAGCCAAATAGAACATGATCTCTTTATCACTGATTTTCCAGTAGTCATACCAGTCACCAGACAAATACGCAGAAGGCTGGAAAAGCGTTTCAACTTTATAATTTTGTAGTTCAATTGGATTTGGAAGAAGTTTCTTTTGTAGTTCTGCGGCAGATGGTAAATCACGGCTATCTTGATTACGTTTATATTGCGCATCAATTTTTAATAAAGAATCTTCAAGATTGGCTGGAAGCTTGGTCCAGATCCAACCAGCAAGAGCGCCAAGTTCCCATGCTTGAGAAAGTTCGCTTCCTTCATTTTCTTGTGCAATGACAATGGTAGGCAAAGCCCATTGGTATTGTAAAAAATCGTGGACGTCTGCAATTGCAATAATTGTTGGATCATAACGATGAATGTCTTCAATGGTAATCATCTGCAAGCTAGGAAGCGTATCTAATACTTGTTCTAAGCTTGAAATTTGGCGACTGGGTTGAATGAAATACATAGAAGAAATGAATGATCCTTAATCGGTATAAAAGCATTATCCAGTAGATTTACTATAGATGACACCACAATGCTAGTAAAACCATATGAATTACTAGCAAATAAGTTTAACAAAATATTGTGGTTATTTGTCTGCGTTTGTATCAGCAGGACTATTGCTATCATCCTCGTCATCATCTACAAACGCGACAGCTTCCTGTCCACGGCCTTTTTTCTCAGCGATTTGGAATGCTAAACGTTGTAAATAGATATCGCGAATTGCTGAGTAACGATCACCTTGCAATACACTTTCAACATCTAGAAGTTTAGAACGAGTATTAATCCCACCTAAAGTACGATTACCCCAGATTAAACCTGTTTGATGGTTATTATCCATTGGGTAAGTAAGTGGATTGGCATAACCTTCAGCAACATAATCAGCTGAGTGACGAAGGGTGCTTGGTCCTAAAATAGGTAGCATCACATAAGGACCACTTGGAATACCGTAGTAACCTAATGTTGTACCCAAGTTTTCTTCTTCAGTTGCTAAACCTAAGCGAGTTGCAGGGTCGGCTAAACCTAGAGAGGTGACTGTGTTAATAGTAAAACGACCTAAGGACTTTGCTGCACGGCTAAAGCGTCCTTGAGCAAGTTGGTTGACCGCATTCCATGGTTCACTTAAGTTTTTACGAAATAAACTATATGAGGAACGTACATCACCTGGCACTTTCTCTTTGTACTGAACTGCGATAGGTCGAGCCACATTACGGTCGATCATGTCATTAAACGCATAAATTTCACGGTTCAATGGTTGAAGTGGATCTTTTACAGCATCTGGTTGAGCTGCATTGGCATTCACTTTTAAGTCATTTTTTGTGATGTTTTTAAGCTCTTTAAGCGCTTCGATTCTTGGATGTTTTGACGTTGCTTCGTTTTCTAGTGTCGAAGAATTCTCTTGAGACGACTTATCATCTGAAACAGAGTCTGTAGAAACCGCATTGTCAGAATTCTCTTGAGTAGATAATTCGTCTTGAGCAAATACATGGCTAGTCAGACCAATGCTAAGTAAACAAGCCCAGAGTACATGATAAGGACGCATAGAATTCCTTGAAATATTCTTAAAGTAAAAGTAGTCAATAACGATATAGCTACATTAAAGACTTCATAATCGTATTCTAACAGCAGTTATTACATATGTATTAAACCAAATTTGATTAAAAAGTGTGAATAAATATGATAAACGAACAATATTTGTTCAAACAATTAAAATAATTAAAAAAAGGGGTTGTGTTGGATTGGGAATGCTGTAGAATGCACATCCATCGGCGGTGATGTTAAATAAAACTTCTGATAAATCAGGCACTTGATTAAGTTGTTAAGATTTCGAATTGAGATTTTA